AGGAATTTGTGGTTATATTCGTGTGCATTGTTACGTGCCGGCAACTCGATATTCAAGAATCCTTTTTTTTCCCGTATTTTTTTTGTCAAGTAGATTTTAAGTATCCCGATATTAAAATCTTTTCCTTTTTTTTTCTCAACGAATAAGGCCCAAACAATTATGCTGACCAACTTTCACTTCGTGACCGATTACAAGGTTTATTAGTCCTATCCAAACAAATCATCGCAATACATATCAATACATTTTCCAATTATCATGTTATTTCTCTTTTAGAAAACCACTCCAATTATCATGTTTCGTATCAGGACGCGTTGCATTATTGGTTGTATTAACGAAAATACCACCTATCTCATCTTGAACGAAGGTCCGTCTTGCACACAAAGTTCTGTTCTCGTCAGAAACTCGAAGTGAAAACATCCTCCTCTCAATAATAAACAAAATTTCACAAATTTTATTAAATCATAAGGAAATTTATATTTTTCATTTTTTATGTTGACCTTTCTTACATTTTATCACATATTATCACATATTAGTTTTAAGAATTAATCTTTCTGATCCGCATTAATACATTAATACATTTTTCACTTACATATATCCATATTGTACATATAAATTTATGATATACTTTCGTTAGTTATTACAGGAATAACTATATTCTTTAATTGGAAATCTGATTCCAAACGATCTTGGCGTATTTCTGGCAATTGTGCAATACAATTTCCATCTATCATTCCTTTCTTTTTTCTCATTGATGTCATTATTTCTCTGACACATTCAAGAAAAGTTAATTGACTCCCATATCTTTTGAAGATCTTACAAATTTCTTGTATAAACCACGATCCTGAATAATTGAAAATAAATTTACATTAAAACATTTATAATTATTTATTATATTAATTATTATAATTATATGCATGCACGCCTACACGTACACATGCACGCATGTACACGCATATATATGTACATACGTAAATACATATACAGGGTGTCTTACAACTCGCAACCGAAAATTTTATAACATATTCCAAATTTAAAAATAAAACGAAAATTCTAATACGAAAATATCGAGATTCAAATAATTTTTAAATTATTAGCGATTAAAGCGCGCGCGCGCGCGGCTGTGTTAAATCAGCGTATATAAAACATCGGATTTTCGTTAATTAAAAATATTAATACTTTACTATAATAATTATATTCATTTTGTAGCGCAATTTTTATACAATTTAATCACTTATATATACATTGTATTCATAAAACTTTTTTCAAAATGTATGTTTTAGTTGTTTTGTTTAAAGTTCGAGATAAACATAAATTCTATTGAAATTCGTATACTTTTTTTATATGATTTTAAATTGGGTATTAATGCTACTATAGCTACATTAGCAGAACTTTTGGAGAAAAAATTGTTAATGAAAATACAGTGCTAATTCGAAAAATTCCATTCTGGAAATTTTTCTTTACAAAATGAACCGCATAAATCTAAAGTTTTAGTCAATAACAATATTTTAAAAGTTTTAGTGAAAAATCTTCATCAAACAAGAAGAGAATTTGCTAAAAGAATGAATATTGAATTTAACTGTAATATATATTTTTCTATAATTAAAATAAAAATATGAATAAGTAAATACTATACATGACTTAATCGATTAAAGCAAATTGAAAAAGCCGAATATATATTTATCATGCATTTGTTATAGATTCATCATAAACGAGACTTATTTTTCGATTGAATTATTATTTGTAATGAAAAACGAATTCTTTATGATAACCATAAGCAATCTTCATGATGACTTAATAAAAATCAATTCTTCAGTTCAAAATTATATAAATAATTTCAGAATTCATATTTACTTTAAATTTTAAATAAAACAACTAAATCATGCTTTTGAAAGTGGACACAATGTAATTACAGTGACAAGTGATTAAACTGTATATATTGAATAAAATTAAATAAAATTATGTTATACACCCGAAATTCTCCCCCGAACTATTCGTTAGTAGAAAAATATTTCAGATAGAAGTTGTAAAGTTTCAAAGAAGCCATATAATTGTGATAATTTATCTAATTTATTAGATGGAGTTACTTCGAGATCTTTTCATGTGGTCATTATTTTATTAAATAGATTCACATATTTTTCATTGCAAGATACTATTATTCTAATTATTCTGGATAAAGAAGTATTAAGACACAGTCATCAAAAAGTTAATGGAGTAAAAAAGATATAGATACATATTGTTTAAAAAAATTTGCAATATGTAAATATATACTTCTTTTCAAAAACAATTATGTTTTCTCTATATCAATCAATTTGTTTTATTATTTTCTACGTCTGCTGAAATACAATAAAAAGTGGAGATTGTTATTTAAATAATTTAATTTGGTTTATAAATGATGAACTTAGGTATTTAATCCCAAATTGAATTATTATCACTTCCATTAGATATTTTAAACTTTACAATTTCTTATGTTATTTTTTTTCTTTTTTTTTATGTATTTTTTTATGATCCTTTCCGAGATATTTGAGTGTTTCTAGACTTTTAGGGAGTCTATATAAATAAATTTTAATTACCTTGTTCTTTATGACGTATTGACAAAAAACCTTGTATCGTAGACATAAATATAAAAAAGTTTGCAAACTGTCGTATATCTTTTACAGGTGCAAGAGAATCGGATAAATCATCTTTTGTTATGTAATTATGTAATTGTGTACTTCCTGAAAAGAGAAGTAAATTATCTTTATATACTAATCTACATTTACCACAATATCTATTGTAAACTCTTTATGATGATTTTAAGCCTCATAGTACAAGCAATCATAAATTCATTGTAAATGTTAATTCCATGGTGAATTCAATTTGAATCATTACGATTATGATGCTGTCCGATGTTTCAATAGTCAATGAGAATAAACTCTGACGTTTCATCACTGATGTACGACATAACTTATAATTTATTATAATTTGTAGAACAGAGTATGTTCATATCAATCGCTATTTTTCTGACGATATATATGATTAAAGCATTGCGA